AGCGGGGAAGAGAAAAGAATAATCGGGAACACAGGAGATAGGGATTGACATTGCATTTAAATATTTGCAGATTAAAATTGGCTGGAAAGCATGGAACTAGGAGGGAGTTCCACAAGCGAGAAGTGGGAGAAAAGAAACTGTCTGCATAGAACTTACGGTTACATCTATCCAGCTCAATTGCAAATTGATGAGAACTCGACGTCAGTCTAGTGCTGCGCTTAAATTCATAAGGTCTAGGTACCATAGCGAGGAGCTCATCCAAATATTTACCCTGAAAATATTCATAGAAAAAGCACAGAGAGGCAACCTTACTCCGGTGGGAAAGTAACTGAAGCCGAGTCGCCAGGTCCGAAGCAATAATATTGCAGATTCCTCTTTGGATCTTATTAAGGAGCTCTAGATATATAGCAGGGCCACCGGACCATATGTGGCAGCAATATTCTAAGCATGGACGAATGGTAGACTTATAGATATGTAAGATAGAGTCTGTCAAGAAAAATTGTCTCGCACGACACAGTGAACAAACTTTCTTAGCAGCTGACCTAGAAACGGATTCAATATAGTTTTTCCACTTCATCAGGTATGATGATGGAAGGCAAGGGTCTCTCATATGATTCATGAAAAAAAGTTTAGAGGCGTTAAAATTAACAATCCATAATCATGTTCCATATGTAGCATTTCAATATATTCAATTCTGGATAATTGTTGTCGACCTCTGTGTGTGTCTGCGTGCGTCTGTGTGTGTGTGTGTATGTGTGTGTGTGTGTGTGTGTGTGCGTGTGAGGCCCAAGCCCTCATCCGAAACGTGGATCATGCATTGGACGCATAATAGACTGATAAAATTAAGACACCCTAAAGCACAGTGATTTTTATCTGATTGACGGAAGCCCTAACAGAACTCTGCAGCGAAGTATTTTGGAAATCAATTTGGTTTTTCGGCGCAACATTTTAATTTTGAAGTGAAATATTTCAGCAACATAAAGACGTATATTTTTAAAGTAACTCGCGAATAGTTCATTCAGAACGATGTAGAGGCACTTCAGCGGCTGAGCCAATCTGACTTGAATCCAACTGAAAATTTATGACGAAAGTTGAAAGACCGAATTCATAAGAATAACTAGAGAAACGTTAATGATTTTGATGGCCATTGGCATTAGGGACAAGTATTTAATATAATACCCTTGGGAAAGGTATGAATCCTCTTTTTCTCGCCTCAGCTATGGGTAAATAGCAGGACAGATCGGGTTTTATAGCCTTGGATGGTAACTGGTCTATCGCAGATAGAACTGGCAACCTACTGCGGGGAAAATCTACCTCGTCAGTCATGCATCGAAAGATACATGATCGCCTAAGCGTGTATCATTCATGGTACATAACTGACTAAAGGATCGACGGTGAAGTAATCAGTAGAAAATTAGTTCGAATTCCAGTCGAATCCATTAGATTGACTTACGTGCTAATGCCCTTGGGAAAGGTATGGATTCTCTTCTTCTTCCTCAAGCTATGAGTAAATAGCAGGACAGACCGGGTTCTATAGCTTTGGATGTCAACTGGTCTACCGCAGATAGAACTGGCAACCTACTGCGGGGAAAAATCTACTTCGTCAGTCATGCATCGAAAGATACATGATCGCCTAAGCGTGTATCACGCATGACACATAACTGACTGATTTAATATAATACTGAGAAAGGTTTTTGAATAGTTTTTGAGTTGTTTACCAGAGCAATATAACTGCGTATCAAAATATGAAATGTTTTTGAATACTTTTCATTTCCTCACTATTAATTTATATTTGATTGCACACTGTATGTTTGTGTAATGAAGAAAATGAATGCACAAGGTAGAATTTATCATACTTAGCATTAGAATTTATCCAACTATGGACTTAGTCAATGAATGTCGGTTGGTGTGCAGCTTCTTACCGTCATCCAAACGTGGACCGACAATTCTTGTGTGTAATATCTGAGAGACTCTGCATTTCTCCACTCGAAAGTGGTTTATATATGTGTCATAAGGTACTTTTCCACGTGTGCATTCCGAGTACATTGGGCCAATCTCTCTAGGAGGTTACCCTCATATCAGTTTTTCCTCTGCCTTCTCTAAATGACACTGAGTACAAAGTCATTTCTGATGATCTGGACTCGGCCCAGTACGTACTACAATAATATTCATTTATGTTTTCTGTTTCAAAAGAAAAAATGTTTTCATTATTTCCATTCTGGCTTTTTTCGCTTCATTTTGGCATTTTTACATACGGTATAACTCTGAAAACAGGTTGATATTAATTTAAAATTTCTCATTATAAATAGACACGTTTAACCATGTCATGAAACGACGTAAATTGTGAAGTCCTTACCATTATTAGAAGAATCTCTTATGGGAGTCTATAAATATATTTTCCAATTATTATACTGTTTTTAAGCCTCTTAATTTCTTGAGGCACGTAGGACCCCAACAACACCTCTCCAACGGATGCGATTCCAGACGATCCTCTTCAGCTCGACCAATGTCGTTCCGGCTGCCTTCACCTCTGCGTCAACATTTTTGCGCCAAGTCTGTTTTGTTCGACCTAATTTTCGCTACCTTTGTGGATTACAATCAAGGGCCAGCCTGGTGACACTTGAAGTAGGCTTGCGGGGTGTGTGACCAATCTATCCCCTTTCCGTTTCTCTCTTGCTTCTTGATTCCTTGAGGCACATAGGACCCCAACAACACCTCTCCAACGGATGCGATTCCAGACGCTCCTCCTCAGCTCTGCCCATGTCGTACCGGCTGCCTTCACCTCTGCGTCAACATTTTAGCGCCAAGTCTATTTTGGTCGACACACTTTTCGATTCCTTTGTAGATTCCAGTCAAGGGCCTGTCTGGTGTCACTTGAAGCAGGATTGTGGAGTTTGTGGTTGATTCATCCTTATTTTCATTTCTTGATGTCAATCTCGATTGGGGTTTGTCTGGTCTTGTTCTACAGTTGGTCGTTGGAGACGACTTCCCTTGTATATTCCAGTCAAGAGCCTGCCTGGTGACACCAGAAGCAGGCTTGTGGAGTTTGTGGTTGATTCATCCTTATTTTCATTTCTTGATGTCAATCTCGATTGGGGTTTGTCTGGTCTTGTCCCACAGTTGGTCGTTGGAGACGACTTCCGGCCACCTGATATTGTGGATGTTCCTGAGACATCGGTTGGTAAATGTCTGAAGTTTGTGGATGTTGGTCTTGGCTACCCGCCAGGTTTCTGAGCCGTAAAGTAGGACCGACTTGACGTTGGTGTTGAAGATCCGGATCTTTTTATAAAGTGAGAAATTATTGGACTATCAGTTTATTTCTCAATGACAATAAAATATCAGACCCCTACTTTATGTCCAGTAAAATTTTATATTAATACAAATGCCATGTCATCTAAATTCGTGATCTATTTTGTTAAATCCTTAATATTAAGTTTATCACAAACGAAATTTTTCTTAGTATAAAATTCATATAGATTAATTCTACCGTGTGATCAGTTTGTTACTTAATAAAAATAGAAATATAGAATCATATTAATACTAGTTCATCCAGGCTATAAAAAAACGACACTATATATTGTTACGGTCTTAATATTATTAGAATATTTTCACATGCAAATCTTTAAATAGATTTTCAGATTATCAGAGATTTCCCAGTTGCGCATCCATACATCCTGTATACACCCAATCGGCTTTTTTTGATTTTGCTTCTTTCTAGGTGTTACCCTTTGTTTCTGTTATTCACTCAGGCAGTCTACCATTGTCATAACAAAGATATTGCCACCTGGAGTCGCCAAGACAAGGTTATCTCAACTTGCATGATATCATTCAAAGTTACAGGCAAATCATACACTTTGTTTAACCCAACAGAAGCATGCATTTTCTTAAAATGGTGCGTGGAATATTTTGACTAATTTTGGACAATTGTGGGTGCTAGATTCCCCAAATAACATCAATTTCCAACTATTAGCTTTAGTTTCTCTGTCCTAGAATAACATATCTTATATAACTCAAGCTTATGTGCCAAATTTTTGATGTAAACTATGTAAAATGATTATACCAAGAGCTTTATAAGGTTTCCATTCATAATTTAGAACACGATAATTAAAATCGTCATTATCATCATGTATTATTACAATTAAAATCGACATTATCATCATGCATTATTACAATATAAACATCAAGTCTTTAAGCAATGAAAAATTCAATAATGTTCATGATTTTTTCGGATGCATTCAGAATTAATTTGAATATTATGAGAAATTTGACTATAAATTCGAATGCGTCCTTCGCTCTGTTACGTAAACTTTACGAATTTAAGCGCAGCACCAGACTGGTGTCAAGATCTCATCAATTTAAAGTTAAGCTGGTTAGATGTAACCGTAAATTCTATGCTAACAGTTTCTTTTCTCACACTTCTAACCTGTGGAACTCCCTTTCGTTTCGCTGCTTTCCAGCCAAATTTAATCTGCAAAAAGTTAAATGCAATGTCAACCGCTATCTACCGCCCCCGTGACTACAATTTTCTCTTCCCGCTCATTATTAATATTTCTGTTCCTAATACTTTCACAACCAGCAATCCCTTGTGTCTTAGTGGCTTTACTGCCTTTCATGGGGTGATACCGATTTTTTAAAGTCATATTTTTAAACACTTAAATTCGGTAGATGTGGAGCCAACTTGTAAAATTGACTTGATTTTTTGCTCTCAATATCCCAAAATTAGCTAAGGAAAAGTATAAGTTGGATTGCATCAAAACGTGCAGGCTTGTGTAATTGTATAATGATAAATTATAAGCATATTTACAAAGTTATGATAGGTGACACTGAAAAGTTCTCGACTACACCAACTTTCAAAAATTTGATCAAATGACCAAGCATCATTCTTAAAAAAATCCTTTCTTGGTCGGACCGAGAACTTTTCAGCACCAATTTCGTAGAGATATTCATAATTAATAAATGAAAATATAAATAAGGAATATAAAGAGAAATAACAGATGGACATAAGAATAATAATAAAAAAAAAGCAAAGAGGAATACAGATAAAAAAAAAAAAAGAAAGAAAGAAAGAAAGAAAGAAAGAGACCCGGGGAAAATAAAAAAAGAAAAGAAATGAGTGTTGTAAGCTTGAAGGAATTGATAGTATATAAGATAAAAGCTAATGCTTCCCAGAATGGCAGGTGGGAAAAATCACGCGGGAAAATGCTGATTTCACGTAGGGAGTTGAGATCAGGTAAAAACGGTCAGAAGTATCGGGTGTTCTGGAAGGTTAAGAAAACACAAGAGTAGATAAAAGCAAGAGCGATTAAAGAGGGAAGATACAAACGGAGAGAGAGAGAGAGAGAGAGAGAGAGAGAGAGAGTGAGAGAGAGAAAGAGATATAGGGGGAAGGTGTGGATGAAAAACGGAGGAGAAAAAATGCAGCAGACCCTTTCTCTGTTTATTTTTATCCTTCTTTTCTGTTTCCCGCCTTTTCGACGCCATATCATTGCAGGATGTCTTTGATTCTCAAATCTGTAATCTCTGCAAAAAAGGCTCACCGCTTGCGTCAGATATACAATCACTCAACATTTTATTTCATCTCTCGCGTTTTGTTCCTTTGATTGGCACATCGAACCGGCCAAGTGGCTCATCTGGTATCAACACCGGTTCTGTTATTTCGCCATCTTCATTGAAATATTGCATTTCGAGGTTCGAAGCTTAAAACGCCTACCGTATCTGATTGCGCATAAAATGGCTCCACCATTTGCGTTTTAGAGCCTACGGTTTTGGTTTTTGGATTGATGATTTGATTTTTACGGTTTATCAGGCATTTGTGAGTTATTTCAAAGCGGAAGATATTTTGGATTGTAAGAAAAATTATTATTATTATTATTATTTTGTAATCGTATATATCATTAAAATATTTTTTGACATTTTTGAGAACAACGCTTTTTCTAGATGCAAGTTCTACTATTTAACCCATAGCTGGGGGAGGAAAAGAATTCATACCTTACCAAAGAATATTTGTGCGTTTATCAATGTAACAAACCCAACCTCAATTCGAACTCGGCTCTCCGATTTTTCATTCCGAGTTGTTTATATATATATATATTTCTTATTATATATATATGTATATTTGTTTATATATATATATATATATATATATATATATATATATGTATTTGCTTGTTCATATATATTTGTTTATATATATATATATATATATATATATTTTTATTATTTATATATATATATTTGTTTATATATATATATATATATATATATATATGTTTTACTTGTTCATATATTTTTTTTGTATATATATATATGTATATATATTTGTTATTATTTATATATATAAATATATATATATATATATAGTTATTTATTTAGTTTGATTTTCCAAAAAAATTAAAACTAAAATAAATAGACATAAATTATTTAACCAAACCTGCTTGAATGAAAATATGCTGCCTGAATATATATATATATATATATATATATATATATATATATATATATATATATATATATATATATATTTTTATTATAGTTTATTACATTTTCTTATATTATGTTCCAATGTAATATCCTGTAATAAAGAATTATCGCGCTACTATTGTATTAAGCTCTCTTTTTAAATTAATGCGGCGAACGTTTAAATCTATACTTGATTCGTTCTCATTTAATTTGTGCGTGTATATATATATATATATATATATATATATATATATGTGATAAGGTGGAAAAAGATTTCACTAAATTTTTTTTTTTATATATTCAAATTTATATATTATTTTTCCACATATATAGTAGGAATGAATGGATGTTACTCATAATGCAAACTTATATCTATACCTAACTGCATGTGTATTCCCTTATTAAAACTAACGAATGCACAGACTGTCCGGTAGATATGGAGTTGCATTGTTTAAAAAAAAAAACAGACCTCTTCAGTTTAGTTACTTTAAAGTAATAAAATACAACACACACTTACACACACACACACACACATATATATATATATATATATATATATATAAAAAGTATATATATATATATATATATATATATATTTTGCGTGTGTATTTAATCTTAGATATATGAGAAGGGTCAATGTCGTGCATAATTACACACTTCACGTTGAAACTGTGAGGCAGAGACTTGTTCCATTCAAAGAAATTCTTGTCCATGAAATGGTTACCATTTTCTGATTAATTCCTTCATCGATTTTAAATGGTTCAATAATTGTTTGACCGACACTTCCTGTTCATATTATCATGCTGCTGCTTCCTTGTTGCCTTGTCTATTCCTAATAGACAGATCAGCATCGGATAGAATCCTTCCTTTGGATCATCCATCAGAGCCATCGAATGTCACTCGTGATTTGCAACGTGAAAAATTATTTTAGAAAAGTAAATTTTCATTTGACTTTGGTTTGTTTTTTTTTAGTTGCTTTAAAATATTTGCATTATTGAGAGGAGGTTGTCTTGGAGATTTCTTGACACCAATTTGCGACTTATTCTACACTTTTTGTCCTTGATAACCTTAATTCCGACATGTTTAAAGTTGTTTCGCTATAATTAACGTTACGTTCCTTTAAAGCAGAAAAATTCTAAAAGCGTTTAGTCTGAAAATTGGGTTTAAGCATGAAACAGACTGTCACTTTTGTGTGTTGACCTCAGTGACTACTGATATATATATATATATATATATATATATATATATATATATATATATATATATAACAATAATAATCTTATAAATGTAAGCAGTTATACTCGTCCAGCAAAACCTTAGGTGTTTTAGCTTGTAAATGAACAAACCAATACCCAAGGGGAAAAAAAGAAAGAAGTAAGAACATGTATTTCCGGCGAAAATAATCGTCTAGAATTTCAGAGTCAGAGAAAAAAACCTCCGACACGAGTAAAGTAAAAATAATTAAACGAAGTGCTCAATACATTAAGTAGATCAAAATAAGTAAATAAGCCTAAAGAGCCAGACTAACCTAACTAGGTTTCACCTAGGGCGTCCTACGATCCGCGTAGGTGAAACCTAGGTAGGTTTGCCTGTCTATTCAGGTTTATTTACTTATATATATATATATATATATATTTACTTATTTACTTATATATATATATATATATATATATATATATATATATATATATATATATATATATATATATATTAGGTTTATTTACTTATATATATATATATATATATATATATATATATATATATATATATATATAGTAATGATACAATATGGTAATCCGTATGGATCCAAGAAGAGATCTAATGTCAAAAGACAGAGCAAAATTATTATTAATTAAAGAATATCAAACACTTAAAATCACATAGGTAATAATTTTTATTTCATGAGAGCCCTAAAAATAGTAGTTGTCAGTCTTCAAGACCTACCAACAACTCACAAATGAAATGGAAAAATACTTCGTGTTAAAATCAAGATATTGCTATCTTATTTAGAGAGTGTGAAAAGACAGAGATTGTTGGCCTATTTTGATATACTGTCCCCAGATTTATTATGTCATTTAACATTAGTATGTCATAAAGGAGGAAGGGTCTAAAGTGTAGTGAGTTCAGCGTGAATTGGAAGCAATCCCGTCTGGTTCTGTCAACGCCAAAATTCCAATGCTCATATATTTTGGGGGGTGAAATGATTAAAAAAAAAACTATTCTCAAAATTGCTCACACTCTATATATATATATATATATGCGATATCATAGTCGTGCAGAAAGCCGCAAATATGTATCACAAAATGAAAAGTCTTTACAATAATATTATTGTTATCTCCTGTTAATTTCCCTCTGAAAGTTATCCACTGCCTTAACTGGGTATTGAACTTACACTCTTTGGGTCCTGTCACTGGATCTAAATAATGTCTTTATCCACTGTGTCATGTGTCCTTGAGGAGAACTTTCAGAGGGAAATTAACAGGAGATATAATGTAAAAAAATGTAAATAGTATCCCGTATAGCTGAATATATTATTATTTTAGATATTGATTTAGGCTCCTATATATCCTATAACAATGATTTTCTCTAACCTAATAAGAGATCTATTTCAGGCTGATACCGATGACTGTTTGATTTGGTCGCCCACATAATCACCAGTGATATAGAGGCTCTAATTAATCATCAAGCTCAACTAATTTGCATTATTAGTCGATCTTCCTAGACAACATTAATCTGAAATTCGTAGACAAATTCCGTGACTTGGAAGCACTTCGAAACACCATTGTTTTCTAGATGATGTAATCACAATCCATATCCAAAAAGCTACTCGGGTTTTTAAGAATCTGGAACGTCTTTTGTTTTAGATAGGGTCATAAAGATAGAATTAAGATTTTTGAATTTTTTTAGATGGCTGGCATGCACTTCATTGAAACGGGGGTGGGGAGGCATCTGATCAAAGAGGATAATAAATACATGCCAAAACAACGAGACAGTATGGAGGAACGAAGAGTGAGGTAAAAAGGCACGACATAAACGAAAAATGCCTTCTAATTATTTAGTAGAGAGATTACTCACAGCTTTCAAGATCAATCAGGATTAATCAACATTAATCTGAAATTAGTAGACAAATTCCGTGACTTGGAAGCACTTGGAAACACCATTGTCCTCTAGATAATGAGATCACAATTCCTATCCAACAAGCTTTTAACCCTTTCAGTCCTGCGTTCCTGAACAATTTTAACCCTTTTGCCTCCTGAGCTCCTGAGTCAAAATTTGGAAATAATTGGTATTTGATGTTTCACAGTAGATATAAAAATAGTTACAAGTGTTTACCCACCGTTCAACTGGCGGCTGGGCATTACGTCATCTTTCTCTACCCCCGTTCAACCGGTGGCTGGGCATTACGTATCTTTCTCTACCACCGATAAAGCGGTGGTCAGAGTTCAAAGGTTTAAGAATTGCCGCAAAACATTGTTGATTTATTTTATTTAATGATCTATTATAACATGTCTCTAATTTGTATTTAGATACATTGTATTTATTTTCAGTTAAATTGTTCATCTATATTGCATATGATCCATTACTGTACATAATTAAGTTACAATAAAATTTGTATTTTATATGAATACTACCTTATGAAAATTGAGCTGTAGTTGAGTGTCGGGCCTTGTATCGTAGATTCGGGGGGTACACGTGACCTTTGAACCGACCCTGATTATTTATATATTCATTTTACAATGCGTCTATAATAAAGTGTTTACCCACTGTTCAACCGGTAGCTGGCCATTAAGTCATTTTTCTCTACCACTGTTCAATCAGTGGCTGGGCATTACGTCATTTTTCTCTACCACCGGTAAAGGAGTGGTCAAGGTTCAAAGGGTTAACGTAGGCTCCTATATATCCCATAACTTTCATCAGTCTTTCACTAATTGGTTTTCTTAATATTTCTACTGTTTCAAACTTAACATTACTTGTAGCAGTTTTTTTTATTGTTTCCTCGAAATCTCTCCTTGAATATTATT